CATGGACATTTGACAAGGGCTTCTCACGCTGCAGCATTTGTCTTGTATTGAGCTCACGTGCGTGGGTCCAGGGCTCGAGCCTACACACCACCCCAACATCCGACCACGATTGATCATACCCTTCTCTTCCTTCCTTCCAAATCACTATCTCTTTCCTTGATCACTCGACACGATCGGTCCAGCAGGACGGATTCCTCTAAAGGTACGCTTATCAAGACTATTATGGTTGGATTTCAGCCAAAACTGACATCATTGGTTGACTTCTCATGCGGATGTTTTTTTGCAAGACTGAATCCTTCTCAGTCCAAATAAAAGTCGATATGAATGATGAGATACTGACGTTTATTTTCATATCGAAGATTCTTTCTGAAGAACTCCTTCCTTCCCAAGCCAAGTAAGTCCCCAACAGAAGATTCTGTTCATGATCAAGAAGGCCCCAAATCAATCAACCCAAACGACAATCATGACCTCATTTGATGTTACTGACATTTCTTTTCATATCGAAGATTCCTTCTGAATAACTCCTGCCTTCAACTCCAAGTACGTACCCTCTTCAACGGACGATTCTGTTCAAGATCAATAAGACCCCAAATCAATCATCCAAACGACATCAATGAGCTTTGATTAGATTGATTTTAATGATACTGACGTTTCTGTTCATATCAAAGATTCTATCTGAAAAACTCCTTCCTTCAAACCCAAGTAAGTCCCCACCTTCAGTTCCGAAGATTCTTTTCAAGAAGACCCCAAATCAATCAGCTGATATTGCTTCCGTCTAGCTCTAGCGGATACGAACATCTTGAACTTCACACCAACAAAAGAGGAACCCCATGCGCATACCGGTCACCCCATCTTTCAATTCGACAGCTATAAAAGCACTCTCATCTTTGGCAAGTGCTGCCTTTCCCCATCAGTTTTTTGATCTTCGCATACATACACAGTCTTAAACACCACTTTGAGTCAAACTCTTTCTTACCTTTCTTCCATTAACTGCTCTAGCAAATAACCTTTGTGATTTTAAAGAAAAGTCTGTTACCTTCTTTTTCCTAATCGATTTGTCGCTTTCACTAATTGAAATTTTCTGCCGCATATTGATCTTTTTCTAATATAGACAAGCCATGTCCAACTCAAACTTTTCAAACTTCAGCGTGTCTGCTGTGTACTCCCAAAATGAGGTTATCTTGGCCAATGTGGTCGCTGAAGAGGCCTCTCCACAACTCAGTTTGAATGATGCAGGTATGTAACTATTTTGCTGTAATATTTGCTGTTATTGCTCATACTGATGAAAACTGACTACTATCTGTCTGTCTGGAAGTTTTCGAACCGTCTACTGCTGTCACCACCACTGCCGCTGCCCCAGGTGGGATCAATGATCGTTAGTTTCCATGTTTTGGATGTTGCTTTGTATCTCTGATTTGACTACTGACTGTTATTTTCTTTTTTGTTCAGCCATTATCGCTACCACCGCTCTTGTCACTAGTACCGATGGGCCACAAACCGGTTGGATGAATCAACGTAAGTTTTCTTTGCTCATGATGTCGCAGTACTTCAGGAATATGACTGACTTGGATTGGTTTCAGTCTTTGAAGCTCCCTCCCCTCACCTCACAGGTGCCAATGCCCCAGCCACCCTGGTGGATATGGGCCCATTGCATCCTGTGGGTACAGCCGACCGCGATCAATTTGATCGCGCTCACCAGGTAGTGGTTCAAGTGACGTTCAAGATCCACCCTGGAAACGAGGTCGTCGTCACCGAGCCGGAAGAATCCGCCAACTCGACTTCAAGCAAGGCTCCTACCGCTCGTCGATCTGTGGGAACCACCGTCAATGTAATTGACTCTAAGGTATTCAACGACGGTGTAGTCATTGAGTGGCGTGGTTGCCTGGTTGGCCTTTCCTTGAATCAATTCAAGGAAAGGTGCGGTGAGATATGTGAGCGCTACGCGCCAGGTATGCAGCAAATGGTCCTCAACTCCGAAGTGGCACCCAATCTTAGTTGGAAGGCGTCCGTTGGGCGAACTTCTCCCAGCTTTGTCCTGGTAGACCATCTCAAGTTCTTCGACTTCGTCAACAGTTTGACCAAGTCCCGAACTCGTTGGGCAACACTTCTAATTCATAACGAGTGTTCCAAGGCAGTTGGAAAAAAAAAGGCACAGGTGAGTTATATTCTTTCGTTTCATGCTTTGTTTTTGTTTTGTTTCAATGTTTGTTTCGCCATGCTCATTTGTCTCACTTCTGTGAGCATCTTTCCTCTTAGGCATCCGCCACTCACAAGCTGATTGCGACCAACAACGCACCTCAGGCTTTGGAAGTGGAGCTGGCCAAGGCCAACGCGCGTTGCAAAGTAAGTCACCCTTCTTTACTAATTTCGATGGGTCCTCCAGCGGTTTATCTGGTTCAAATCATGCAGGCCTCCGACAAGATGGTTGCTCTTCACAAGTCAACCGCGGAACTTTTTGCGGCGCACGTCGAAACGGGCACCTCAGGAGGCGATGGAGTCGTCTTGGTCACTCCATGGAACCCAACCTATCACCACCGCTTTACTCTAGCTTGTGCCTATATTTGGGCTCAAGCCATTGTAAGTCTCATTTTGTTACCTTGTTTTCGTTTGATATTTGTTTATCTTAATGAATCTTTTTTTCTATTTTTTTAACACCTCTATGAATGCTACAGGAACGAGGTGAGGCCACTAAACACATGGCTCCCAACACGAGGGAATATCGTACCGAGATCGCGAAGACCAAGATTTTACATCCTGGTCTAAAGTTGTAACATCGATTAAGAATGAGTCTTCCCACCCCTGGCAAAAGTTGAATTGCCACTGTCAGTGCTTCCAAAAAGCGCGCCACTTACGAATCACCAAGCAAGAAAGGTGGTAAGTATATCAGTTTGATATCTTCCTCTCCGATTCGTGACGTCAAACCCTCCAAGTCTGAGCAAGGTAAGTCCTTGATGTCTAATATCCAAAACAACAACCCCTTATTCTGACCAAAAAAAATTCTTTGTTAAACAGATGACCATATGGGTGAAACGATTTCGAAGGTACAAGGTCATAAGCGAATTGGTTCCACTTCCAAAAAACCAGGGCCGAAGAAGGCCAAGGTGGAGTCTGGTGAGTCGTTTGGAGTACGTTCATGTGGCCAGGACCTAACTAATAATACGTTAATATTTGCACCTCCAGACCCCATCCGAGGAGAAGAGGACCTATTATCTTCGGATGTCATTTTCTCGAGTGCCGATACTGATGAGCTGGAGCTTATCAAAGAGCATGAACATCTTCTTGATCAATTCGTCAAGGAATGTGGTGTGACCCACAACTTTGACCGCACTCGCAACCTTTTAATCAACTCTGGTATTCAATCGTGGATTGATCTAGTCCCTTCCATCAAGATGACCGAAGCCGTATTGATCGAGCAAGGTGTTCCCCGTGACCTTGCTATCCGCTTGTTGCAAAAGGCCGAGGAACGCAGCCGTGCCGAAATGCAAAGTAAGTTCCTTTCGATGCGCATCTCATCACTGGTTTGAACTGACCTATATTATAAATCCAACATTCAGGCCACATCAAAAAAGAGGAGTCAGGTATTTGAGATGAGAAGAAATCGCCATCTCGACTTATTGAAAAGTTGTTTTTACTAAATGCCCCAAAATGTCCTCCAAACCCCAAGCTGCTGGCTTTTACCTAACCCCGCACTTGACTTATCTTGTTGGGCATGCTTGTTCTTGTTTTGTTATTTCATTTCCTGCTCGTCAAAGTTAGATATCTCTTTACTGATCAAAGAGAGTGTGGTACCCAAGTTTTCACTAACTCTTGAAAAGAAATATGCAATTGTACATTGGCAATACCAAATCCCCAAACCCACGTGCCTTTTGTGACGAATATTTGTGCCCAAAAGTTGAGCTTTTGTCACCACTATTCCATTTGAGACTTTCCTCTTAAAAATCCAAAGTAGTCTGAACTTTGGATTTTTATCAGTTTGATACTAATCCTCTGAACAATCGATTTCATCAAAGAATCCAAAACGGTCAAACCAAAAACATTCAACAGTCTTAGAATCCAACATAGATGTACTATAAATATTTCTTATATCATAAAGTTTTTTATTTCAAAATGAACCTTACATCATTTTCTTTATTTGGAATAATTTTGCGAATTTTTCCTTTGTAGTGTATCAAAAAGGGTCTCTTATGAATTTTTTTTCATTTTTAAAATTAAATCTTTTATGAAGATCTTTTTATTTGTGAAAATATATCTTTAATCTTTTATGAAGATATTTTTATTTGTCAAGATAAATCTTTGTATAAAATTAATACAAATCAATAACAACTTTCCAACTTTCATGATCACAATTTCAACCAATGAATGAGGAATGAAACATTTTTTTTATTTTTTCACGACTTATACTAATTGCAAGACACACAGATGAGGAAGTCCCATAGAAACTGACAGAGTTAATAATTTCCAAAAACAAACTTATACTCATAGGACGACAAAATCAATAATTTGCAGATAACAAAATGTATGATCATTTATGTATTCTTGGATCACATAAAGGAAAAAATTGCAACTAGTAATTATTAGTTGAAACAACTATAAATAACTACATCCTCGAAAGAGGCTCTCACATAAGTCCGAGGTGAATAACTCCATACATGTCACAAAGATCCTAGCCTCTTCTTCTTCTGCATTGAGACAGTTTTGCATCTCTTGTGTTCTTCGTAATCTAGCCTTCATAGGTGAAAATCCCTTTTTGATGGGGTTGAAGTCCGGGCTATAAGGTGGAAGATATATGAGGCGTACCCCACGTGCGGCGCAAAGCGCTGCCACGTTACCTCCGTGATGAATCGGAGCATTGTCCATGACCAGGACGCTGTTTCGTTGAGGCCAAGGGTTCATCGCCGGTAACTGCAAGATTGAGCGTTAGTATCAGTATCATCAAAAGCCAAATTGAAAGAATGAAATGGTAGTGAAATTACCAGATGATTTCCCAAAAATTCCTCAAAATCAAGCCGTGAGTAACCACCTTTTCTGATCTGGACCGCAAGGATTCCATCAAGTGAGATCGCCGGCAAGACAGACCAGCGAGTTGCTCGAGTAGGCCTTTGAAGTCTGGGTGTCCGTTCGCCAATGGGGGCTCGAGCAAAGTCGCGATATAATCTTCGCTTGCTCAGAGCCGTTTTGTCTAATTCCAATGTGTCACAGCGTAGTCAGTATCAAGAAATCAAAATCAAGAAATAATACAGAAATGCAATTTAGTTTTTACCTGTGAAAACTAAACACCGAGGGTCGATATTATGGACAGCGGCAATGTAGGCCCCTCGCGCCTCAGGAGATTGATTTGGATTCACGGTTCGAGCCATCTTTCGAGTCCAGAGAAGGCGGTCTTGGAGTTCAGTTGAAAGGGTTTGGATTGAGACTTGAACACCATGAGCTTCCTGAATTCTTTCCTGAAGCTCGTCGAGGTACAGAGTTGGATCATGGCGGAGGGATTCCAGGACGAATTCGCGCTGCGCGGGGCCTAACGATGTTGGAGCACCGCGTTGCATATGGTCCAGAGGGTTCGTTATCACTGCACGAGTGGTTCGGTAGAGATCAAACCATCGCCGGACCAATGTGAGTGAGTCATCAACGCCAAGGGTCCGGACTATGTCTTGGAATCACATTCCCTGTAAGACCATTCGAACCACGACCACCTTGATATCGGCACTGTAAAGGTTTACCTGGAATACACCTCGAGGCACGAGTTGGTGGAAATGTCCACTCTCGTGAAAGGTCTAGATTAGGAGTGACACTTGGCGTCCGAGAACTTCTCGGAAGAGATTTCGAATTACGAATTCTCTTTAAGCCATTCAGTCACTCCTCATCTAGACCTCCACAGCGCTTAGCTCAAGCATAAAGATAAATCAAAATAGTTTTAAAATTTCAAATTAGAAAATAAGACATTTTACAATGGATTTAAGAAATCAAATAAATCAAGCAACTGGAAATGTACAACGACGATTGACTCGAGCTGAAGCAGCGGCAACTGGAGCGCAGTTGGCAGAGAGGTTACCTACTCCTAGAAGAGGACAACCAGCAAGAAGAGACGAAGAAAGGAACGAAGAAGACGAAAGCGAAGGAAGAAATGAAGAGGAGTCGCACGTACCATTGCGAAGACAAGCAATAGAAGAGGAGGACGAAACAGAGGAATGGGGAGGAGTTAAAGAGGTAGAGGACGAGGAGCAAGTCAACGAAGATGAAGAGATACTTGAATTTGAGAGGTTAAAGAATGGTAAGACTAACAGTGATATTACTGACTTTCCTTATCCAATGTCCTTTCCTTTCTCTTCATTTCCTTTTCTTTCTATTTCCAATTTCTTTTTCTCTTCTTTCCCCATATTTCCCCATCTTTTTCCTTTTTATTATCTTTCCTTCTTTTCCCCCTTTCCATCTTTTGTATACGAGGTATGAAAAACAGATTAGTAACGATTAACGAAGAGGTAGAACGGGAAGGAAAATCGAAGCCTGGCCCGGCTACTAATAGGTGCCCAGCCTAAGAATTGGCTTACAGTAGATATCTTAGCCTGGCCCGGCTGCAAATAGGTGCCCAGCCTAAATCGGCTAACAATAGATGATTAGCCTAGTCTGGCAAGAGAATAAGACTCAGCCGAGACGGGCTTACAATACGTGCTATTCGTTATCATGATCTTTTTTGATCCACCACTATCCGTTATCAATTTCCATCAGTCGAATCCCCCAACACCACATCGTAAATTCGTTTGGAAACCCAGATACTGATACGTCGAATGGTTATCGTCATCTGTAGAAGCGAGGCGAGAAACCTTAGTGGAGATGATCCAAGAGGCGTTTGATCGAGACGATATAGAGGGAGCAAGGAAACTTACCGAGAGACTACATCGAGAAGAAGCGAGGCAGTCTATGCCACAACAGACACACCAACGCCGAAACGCCTACGTCTTCGACGAAGAGTCATCGAATGATCCAAACGAACCTCGCACTCGCGAACGTGAAATGCACGAACCAGCACAAAGAACACCAAGTGTTACGTTCTTGAGAGAAGGGAGGCAAGTCGTCGAGAAGGGAGCGAGAAGCGGAGCTAACGGTGAAGGCGAAGAGGGGTGGTTCCATGGTTCAAAATCGGAGGAAGAGTCCAACAAGGCAAAGTCAATCATGGCGGCCAAGAAAGGATCATTAACTTTGTCAAATGGCGACATGATCCATAATGGAAGAGTGTTTAGATGTGGATCAGCGAAAATGGAGGACGCACTGACTCCTTTGTCACCCCACCTCACGAGAAAGTTAAAAGCTTTGAAATCATTTATCCCGTTACCGGTGTTTGATGAGGACTTCTTGCTGAAGGACCAGAAAGCGTGGTCTCTTCTACCACCAAAGTCAGAAGATAAAGTTGAAAAGGAAAAACGGATGTATGGGGGGGAAGGACCGGTGGAAGAACTCACGATGAATTTTGAAGCATGGAGCGATTGCATGGAGCTGTTTTGTGTACACTTACGAGCAGCTGACTGGGAACCAGTTGCAGAGAAGTTCGAACATTATATGACCATCGTGAAGAAGATACGCAAAGACTTCGGCTGGATGGTGGCTTTGCGATATTGCCGCTTGGTCCGTCAAGGGGTGATGAGAGAAACCATCGATGGATCTTTAGGAAACTGGGCGGAGTTGCAAGATCATTTGTTAACTCAGGCTAAGACAAAGGCAGAAAGTTTCAACGAACGAGCTTACAAAACTAATCCCTATGCAGAAGGTGGACCGAAGGCGTCCATATGTCCATATACAAACCAACCGAAACCGTCGAGCTTAAAACACGTCGCAAGTACGACAGCACAGTCCGCTAGTAATCAAGCAAGTCAGGCGGTAAATCGACACGCCAGCACTAGTTCGTACCGAGGAAATGGAAACTGGAAACGATACCAGGGAAGCTATCGAGATACTTATCGAGAACCTGCACGCGAGCAATACCGGGGTGGTGATCAGCGGGACACCAGAGGTCCGAAGTGGGGAGAAGGGAAGCGAAGAGAGCGGAGCAGAAGCCCAGAGAAGCGCTATGGAAGACGAGGAGACGGGAAATGGAAACGATCGTGAGCCTTGTAGTTGAACACAGTTGTTGAGAAATGAAATGCATACCGTGATCGGCAATTGCATGACAACGTCCCAAGCACATTCGAGTGCATTCTTTTCCGTTGTCCCACCTTTCTCCTGCAGTCTTTTCCCTTGTCCCACCTTTCTCCTTCTGAGCTTCATACATGAAAGCCGACGAGAATTTAAAGCGTACAAAGCTTTGACTTGACCTACAACATCGTCAAATCTTCCTATAAAACCCTAATTTGACAACTCAGAATAAGGAATCCCTAACATTAATTTCGAATTTTTTGAATAATTTGGCCTGTTACAACAGATTAGCCCAAGTGGAAAGAGTACGTCTTGACGATGAGAAATCAGAAGAACCAAGGATAGACAAAACAAGACATGTTTTAGATTCATCACAGTCGTTGAAAGAGATAGAGGCACGAAACAGACGTACTAGGGTATGGCCAAATGGCCCGTCTCATAATATGAATTTAGAGGTCTGGGAGAAGGAGTTGTATCAAGTAAATCTGCTGTCCAAGCACAAACATATAATCAGAATGTTTACCACGGGTTTCACACAAGGCATCAAGGAGGCTTACGTACCGAATAAAGATTACTACTGTCCACCCAACCACTCTTCGGCACAACTAGCAAGAGAGAAGATAGAAGAGAACTTCAAAGTTGAACTAGAACTGTCCACCCAACCACTCTTCGGCACAACTAGCAAGAGAGAAGATAGAAGAGAACTTCAAAGTTGAACTAGAAGCGGGAAGAATGTTCGGCCCATGGACAAAACAAGAAGTCTATAAGAAAATAGGTTTCTTTAGGACAAATCCGTTAGGAGCCGTGGTAAACGGGGACGGATCTTTTCGGGCGATTAGCGATCTGTCGTACCCAAGACATTTAGTAGATGTTTCGTCAGTAAATGAAGGCGTCAATAAGAAGGAATTTGAAACATCATGGGATGATTTCAAAAGGGTGGCTTACTTTTTTACTTCGTATAAAGGGAAGCTACTATTAGGGATCTTTGACTGGGCGAAAGCCTATCGTCAGATACCAGTTGCAGAAAACCAGTGGCGGTTTTTGATGGTGCTAGATTTTAACGACCAAGTTCTTTTGGACACGAGAGTGCAGTTTGGAGGCGTAGCTGGTTGCGGAACATTTGGATGGGCGGCAGAAGTTTGGAAAGAGCTGATGGTAGAAAGGTTTAAGCTATTGGCCGGTTTTAGATGGGTAGACAATACATTGTTTGTAAAACCTGTAGAAGACACGGAGGCGGGAAGTATGTTAGATATTGTTAATTTAAGCACGGAGATGGGAGTAACAACGAATGAAAAAAAGTGGAAAGAGTTCACGTACGTCCAGAAGTACTTAGGTTTCGTCTGGGATGTTGAAAATAAGACGGTGCAGTTACCACAAGAAAAAGTTGAAGAACGGCTAGAAAACATATCTACTTATCTGAAAGTAGAAAGACAATCCTTCAAAGAAACAGAAATATTAGTAGGAAGGCTGAATCATAGTGCGTACGTATTTCCGCAAATGAAGGTGTACTGTTCAGCAATTTACAGGTGGATGAAAGAGTGGAAACACAAGTACGCCTTAAGAGACATACCTGAAGAAGTGGTGGAGGATTTAGCGATTTGGAAGCATACCTTAACAGTCGCTGAACCTTTAAGAACCATCCCTAGACCCGAAACAAGGACAGTCGGTGGGGTAGGGGACGCATCGACGTCTTACGGCCTAGGTATCATCATCGGAATATACTGGGCACGATTTAAACTAAAAGATGGGTGGGATGAAGAAGAACCTGATGGGTCGAGGCGAGGGATTGCTTGGGCTGAAACAGTTGCAATACGGTTAGGCTGGCAGATGTTAAAATGCCTGGAAGATGTAAGAGGAAGAACTTACCTAGCTTTAACTGATAATACAGTATCGGAAGGAGCGATAAATAATGGAAAGTCTAGAGATCCACTAGTAAATCGGGAGTGGAAGCGAATACAGGAAGACTTGTTATGGCACAATAGTGCAATCGAAGCTAAGAGAGTCAAGTCTGCAGACAACACGGCAGATGCATTATCTAGAGGATTAGATTCGACAAAGCAGAAGGAGAATATGTTGCTGATTAGCTTGCCGGCAGACCTGAAAGAATTCATGTACCAAACTTGATAAGAAATAGAAAACATACCTGTGACATCCCTTTGAACCTTTTAGCAGTCACACAACCTAGCAAGAAGAGGTAAGTAACTTAGTAAGAGGGTAGAGAAGATAGGGAGCGAGAGGATTAACTTACCGAAGGAAAACTTGGGTATAGTGAAAATGGAGGTAAGTGATCGCCAGCAGTTGAACAACGAAGGCTCGTGAGATACAATGACTAGCGATAGCGCCTTCGAGCAGCTCGTGAGATACCATTAGACTTATGGTAGGTCTCCAAAGGGACTTGAACGAAAGGTACTAGATAACCTAGTGATCGGGAAAGAGGAAAGAGACAAGTCAGCGACATAACCTTCACATTCGATTGATAGATCCACGTCCCAAAAAGACAATACCTTAATCGATTTAATACCTTAATCGATTTACTTCATAGATATGCCACCATATAGAAACCCAACCAACAAAGCAAGGAGAAAGTCAGACTTACCAGGTCACTTTGAACAAGCAGCGAGAGAAGCGACACTAGCTGGAGCTCATATGGCGGCGAGTGGTTGGGCTAAGTCCACGTTAAAAGGTTATTCGTCTGGACTATCGAAGTATATCGCCTTTGTTGAATCAACCGGAAAGAAATTTCGAGATGACAAGAAGATATCAGCAAATGAAATGTATAATTTTATAGTGTGGGCAGGAGAATCGGGAGTCACCGTAAAAGATCCACCAAAGAGAAAGGTAGCCTCGAAAACCATCGATAAGTATATTGATGGAATACAAGCCTGGAACTTAGTGAAACATGTCGCTAAAATCGAATTAGATGAAGGAATCGTTAAGATCTTATTGAGAGCGACGAAGAAAAAGGAGGAAGGTGTCTTGCTCAACTCAGAGAAAAAACCTGTAACTGTCCAGCAATTACTCACGATGTTGGATCGATGCACGGGACGATCAGAAGAACACGAATTCGTAGCAGCAACCGCGCTAGTCGCTTTTTGGGGTTTAATGCGGTTAGGAGAGGTGTTCCGGTTTAAGAGGGACGATGGCGCTTTATTGAGACGAAACGTAGAATTCGGAGAATCTGGAGGAGGAAAATGGGTGAAACTACATTTACGGAAAGGGAAGACAGCGAAACCGAACGAAGTACAGATCATACACTTACAGGAACAGCCCTCGGTACTAGATCCAGTGGCCGCGGTAAAAAGGATTATGGAGATGAATGGCAGCACAGATCGAGACAAGTTCCTGTTTAAAATGAAGAAGGGTTTGCTGAAGAAGAAAAAGTTTTTAACAATCCTAAGCGAAATCTGGGGTGAAGCGAAGATAGGGACTTGGACAGGTCACTCCTTTCGAGTAGGAGGAGCATCGATTAGAGCAAACTTAGGAACAAGTGAGAAAACGTTGAAGAAAGCAGGCCTTTGGAAGTCTGATTCGTACAAAAGATATGTAAAGGTATTTACTACGGAAGAACTACAAAAGACGAGAAAGTTTTTAGATGCTATAAATAATAACAAAGTTCGTTAAAAAGATATTCAAGAATATAGATGGATATTCAAGAAATATAATCAACCTCGTTGAGTTGAATACACCATGCATTGGCGCACCTGAGACCAAAGCCGTGTAGGGGATTGTCCTCCAGGCCAAGGACGGCTTTTAGCAAGATTAACAGCTTCCTTGGTAGTGGGAGCGTCGGACAACCCAACCAACCCTCAAAGGAGGGTGGGAGGGAAGGAGGCTGAAAGCCACCCGCACTCGTAGAGATTGGTTTCGAAGAACCAAAATGAGCGCGGGGCACAGCTTCCCCCGAAGACCTCTCACCTCACCAGAAGGCAAGGTGAGAGGCGGGTGGGTTTAAAACTCAGTTAGGATAACAGAGTGGGGTTTACATTAAACCCACCTCTGATGATATCTTTAAGCTATGAACTAAGCTGAAGAGTGGATGGAATACACCTCGAGGCACGAGTTGGTGGAAATGTCCACTCTCGTGAAAGGTCTAGATTAGGAGTGACACTTGGCGTCCGAGAACTTCTCGGAAGAGATTTCGAATTACGAATTCTCTTTAAGCCATTCAGTCACTCCTCATCTAGACCTCCACAGCGCTTAGCTCAAGCATAAAGATAAATCAAAATAGTTTTAAAATTCCTACCCACCCACCCGGCGAATTAAGGACCCACCCACCAACCCAGGCTGAAAGCCACCCGCACTCGTAGAGATTGGTTTCAAAGAACCAAAATGAGCGCGGGGCACAGCTTCCCCCGAAGACCTCTCACCTCACCAGAAGGCAAGGTGAGAGGCGGGTGGGTTTAAAACTCAGTTAGGATAACAGAGTGGGGTTTACATTAAACCCACCTCTGATGATATCTTTAAGCTATGAACTAAGCTGAAGAGTGGAGGCATTGCTAAAAGGGAATACAAGGAATAGAAAGAGCCCGTATTAAACAAAAAGTGAGTCACGATTCTCTTAGAAATCAAATGAAGTAAGTCAGTCACGATACTCTTAGAAATAAACTGACTGGATTTTGAAAGAACGGTTTGGTTTGGGAGGAAAGTGGTATTGATGCGATGGATAGAATCTGGACGGATGGTGGAGGAGGAGATCAAATTGGGAAATGGGCGTAAACGGAGGAAAATGGGGGCAGGGCATTCGATCAGAAAAAGAAAAAAGAATCTGTTTCGAGAAGGTTCTTTGGGACAAATGACTGGCGACCTTGGGATGGGACTCTATGGATATCCAGAGAGAAATGTCAATCAAATTTGACATTCTCTCACAAAATACATCCAAACTACATTTTCCAAAAAAGTTTTTGCCTGGGGTTTTGGTCTTCTGAGTTTTTGCCAAAATTACAGGCTTTTGCCCAAAATCTGCCGATGATTCT